CTTTACACAATTGATGTGTGTATGGATTGCGGTAACAGTTGTATGAGCCCCTAATAAAATGTTTAAAACAACAAAAAAAAAGATAGCCTTACAGGATACTGAGGAACCAATCCTTTTTCAGTTTTCCCCATAATTTGGGAGGTGCCCAGAAGCTTGAGGATGGGGTTGTGTCTAAGTAGAAGCTACTTATTATTCAAAGAAAGGATGTGGTGCAAGAAAGAAGCCATTTTCTTGCGGAACACTTTTGGATGTGGAGGTAAACAACAACAACAGAGAAGCTGAAGCACACCAGAGCAGGGCAGCTCTGTAAGTCACAAAAGGGTGGGTGGGAGACATGCGTGCGCTACCATTTTAAGGAGGACCAGAGAGCTCAAAGTGAAGCAGAGACTCATCCTCAAGCATTCAGACCCAATACATTACTTGTACCTGTCAGGTCTTCACTTCATAGGTAAAACACTAACCCCGGATTCTTATGGCCATACATCGACTTTTGGAGGCAGTATAGCTCACCAAATGAAAGAGAACATTAGAAAATGGTTTAAACCCAAATCACTGGACAGTGGAATGACCTCAACTGCGAGGTGTTAAGTACTGGTTACACGACTGTACTCACTGCCATTGAGCTGATTCTGAGTCCTGGTGACCCTATAAGGCAGGTTCCCAAGACATCGTTCTCCTTAAGAGAGGCTGGTGGTTTTGAACTGCTGACCATATGGTTATTAGCAACCCTGGATTACAAGTCTGACTTGTAATCCACACCAAGCCACCAGTACTCCCGGAATACTTACTTAAAATACTGCAAACTCTGTTGGAATTGGCTTGATGGCAATGGATGGAGAGAAGTAAATATTCATTGTGTTATATAAATGGCAAATGTCATAAAACATGTTAAAAAAGAGAATAAAGAATTGTGGGGGAGGGGTGCTGGGAAGCTCGCCAGGTTCAAGGTGAAGGAAGAGAGGAGGCCCTGTTCTGAGCATCCCTCTAGTAGGAGATGCTTCTAGCAAGTTCACTGCTGGAAGCATCCCAAGAGACGATTTTGTTTCCTCAGGGAAAGTGGTGTAGGCAACAAGCAAACGGACTTTGAGTCTTTAGAGAGCGCATGCTGAAACTTCTAACTTGACCACAGCTGTGAAATCCTCAGAAGGTGTAATTCCCTTAGCTTCCTGGAGAAAGCTATCAATCACCTTCAGACACGTATGTCAGGACACTTGAAAGTGACCCGGCCGGGAACGGCCTCCGGCCGGCACTCACTATCTTCCGAACCCTCCTCCCCCCACTTCCCTGCTGTTCTTTCCTGGCACACAAATATAGGCCAACGGGCGGTGGGTGGATGGGTGGGGAGGATGTGAGAGAAAATTTGAGAAGTAAAAAGTGGAGCAACTTAACAAGGACATCAATGAGACTGGAGGGTCCAAGGGGGCAGACACACACGGGGACTACAGGAAGGCGAAGCGGGCTCTCCGAAGCCGGGGAGACCGCGCAGTGTGGGCAGGGGTCTCAGCAGAGCTCAGGCTACCTACCACTTGTCAGGGAGGCTGCAGAGGGGACGGCTGCCTTGGGTGACCTCTAATATTTCTTCCGACTCTGAAACGTTAGGATTCGCATTTCACAAACGAGAACGCAAGGATTACGGAA